TGGGTTTGTGTGGGAGGAGCCAAGCAGGGTGATGTGTGGCAAAATCCTTGATGGTTTCCGAAGGATTCTCATGGCCAGGTGTTAACCCTTGGCTGCTTGAGTTGCAGGGGGAATGGGGGGGGGGCATGCGCTCGGCCAACAGGCTCTTGCGACCCGGTCCTACGCCAGCGCCGTACTCCCCGCCACTCGCTGCATTGCACCGCGCATGTTGAGTGGGTTGCAGGGTCGGCCTCCAGCGCCGTGCTCGTCCCCTCCAATGTATCACCCCTCCCCCCCCCAAAAATGCTGTGCTTTCCCAGGTGCCCCAAGACGACCTGGTGTCCAGCCCCCTTGGCCCGGTGAGGGTGGTGCTGCGCGCCGAGGGCCCCACCCGCGTCCTCACGCTGCTGGACCCCATGCGCCACCCTTTCTTCCTGCGCCGCGGCGCGGCGGGCCTGGGCGCCCCCGGCGCGGGGGCCTTGGCGAGCGTGGCGCCGGGCGGCGTGGGGCTCGCCCCGGCGAGCGCCGGCGAGGAGGAGACCGCCGCCGCGAGCGGGCTGCAGTGGCGCGTGAGCGCCAGCCTGGCCGGCGTGGGTCTGTCCGCGGTGGTGGGCGGGTGCGAGGTGGCGTATGCGCGGGCGACGCGCCTGGCCGCGCGCCTGGCCGTCGGCCCCGCACACCTGTCGCTCGGCCTGGAAAGCGCGGCGCTGCAGCTGGACGACCCGCGCCCCCGCGCCGCCTTCCCCGTGGTCGCGGCGCTACCGGCCCCCCGCCAGGGCCTGGCCCCGCGCCGCGTCGACGACCTGCTGGCCGGGGGGGAGAGGCAGGCGGGCCTGGCCGCTGCGCTGACGCTGTGGCGCCGCCGGCCCGCGGGCGTGCTGTGCGTGGAGGACGCGCGCCTGACCTGCGCGCCGCTGGCCCTCTGGCTGGCGCAGGAGCACCTGGAGGCCCTGGCTGGCGCGGCGCGGGTGCTGGGCAGGGCAGCGGGCGTCGGAGGGGGGGCGGGGGCCCCGGGAAGCGGTGGCGCGCAGGAGGTGACGGGGCGGCGATCGTCGCTGGGAACCTCCTCCGAGGGCGGGAACCCCCCCCCTCCAAAGCCTCAACCCGGTGCTGTCCAGCCCGGGGGTGCTGCAGCTGCTGGGGGGCGCGCCGCTGGCGCTGGAGGCCGACAGGAAGCTGTTCATCAACCTGCTGGCCCTCGCGCCCCTGCGCATCTCCCTGTCCTTCCTACCCACACCCCTGGGCGACGGGGCGGGGACAGGTGAGCGGGCGGGGTCTGTGGGGTGTCTGTTGCAGGAGGTGGAGGGTTGTCGTGCTGTGGGAACGATCGGCGACCGCGGCATCGGCATGCGTCTCGTCGGAATGCATACCCCGCACCAGCTGGAGCGCCATGGACATCTTGTGCGCTCGACTCCTGCACCCCTCTTTCACCTCCCTCTCGATACCCCCCACCCCTCTTCTATCTATCAGTGGGCCCCTACCGGCGCCTGCTGTCCCTGGCTGAGGTGGAGGACGCGCGCATCCGTCTCGCCGCGCTTTCCTTGCACCGGCCCCTCATGGGCCAGGCGGCGCTGGGTCAGCTCCTGCAGCGCCACTACGCGCGTGCCATCCTGCCAGAGGTCTACAAGGTATGGAGATGTCTGTTTGTGCGTGTGTGTGTCTCTAGGAGACTTCAATGTTGTTTCAGAGTGGGCGGACTGGATTGAAGATGGGAGACTATGCAAGCATGGATTGTATACTGGATCACACTTGATGCACCACTCGACGAAGGGGAGGGGAGCACCCTGTCCCTCCACATTCACACCTGTCCAGCACCCCACTCGCACCCCTACTTTACATGCATTTCGTCCCCACCCCCCCCAAACCAACTCCCTTTTCTTCCCAAACAGATCCTGGGGTCTGCGGCGGTGTTTGGCGATCCCATCAGGCTCGTGCATCACCTGGGCCTGGGCGTGTGGTCGGTGCTGGCCTCCCCTGCCGCCGGGCTGGTGGAAAGCGCGCGCAGCAGGGCCCCAGCCCAGCTGCTGCTGGGCCTGGCGGAGGGGCCGCGCGCCGCCGCCGCGCACTTTGCCTTCGCGCTGAGCAATGCTGCCGGGAAGACGACCGCCGCGGCGCGCAAGGCCATGTCGGCGCTGGGGCTGGACAGGTGGGTGTGTTTGAGGGAAGGTGCGGGGGGGCCCGTATGTGTTGCGCTTGCAGGCGTCTGGGTGTGGCGGCGGCGGCGACATGCTTCCGTCAGCTGATGTGACCTTGCCGGGGGTGGCTCGTTCATCTGGCGATCGTCCTGGCCCCTTGCTACTTCCTCGTCCCTCGCTCACTGCCTCATCCCCCCTCCGCAGGTACACTGCTGAGTACCCCCACCGGCCCAGGCGGGTCGAGAGGGACGGGGGCTCAGCGCTGATCTGGCGCTCGGGGACTTCACTGCTTTCTGGTGAAGACCAGGGGCCGACAAACGGACGCGGCGAGGCCCTGCTCCCCGCCACCCTCCGTGGCCTGGTGGGGCTCGTGGCCGAGCCCGCAGCCGGCGCAGAAACAGGCGAGCAGCGGGTGTTGCATCATGGGGGCAGGCCACGATCCAGGTTTTGTCCCTCCATTCACAGCATTGCACGACATTTGCAAGGAACACTCTGGCGAGCCCTGGCGCCCATGCAGACTGCGCCGGCTGAGGTGGTGCACGACAGGCACACACATGCCCTTCTGACATTACACAATCTCACCCCTCTCCAACACCCTCCCCCTACCAGGTGGCCTGCTGGGCGCAGCGCACGGCCTGGTCAAGGGCTCAGTGGGAGTGGTAGTGCTGCCCCTGGCCTCCGCGCTGGACATGCTGGCGCGCACTGCCGCCAGCGTCCGGCTGGCGGTGGTCGGTGCGCCGGCGCTGGGCTGGACCCGACCCCCCCGCTACGTGCCCGCCGGCGCCCCGCTGCCGGCGTATGTCGCCGAGCAGGCGCTCGGCCGCTGGCTGCTTCTGGAGCTGGAGGCGGCGGGGGAGTTGGGAAGCGCGGAGGGAGGCACGACCCCGGCCGCCGCCTTTGTCTCCTGCACCCGTCTCGAGCCGGACGGAGGCAAGCACCTGGTGCTGACTCAGCGCTTCGCTCTGCTCGTGGAGGCGCGGCGGCCGCGCTGGGCGCCGCGCCTGTGCTGGAGCGCGGCGCTGGAGGACCTGGAAAGCGTCGCGCAGGTGGGGGACAGCGGCCTGCGCCTGGTGGCGCAGCGTGCACGCCGTTCAGCTTTGACCCCGGGGCAGGGGCGGGGCGCCGCGCCCAGCCCCTTCTCCCTCTCAGTGTGCGAAATTCGGTGCGCCGGGTCGGAGCCGGCACGGGCGCTGCACGACGACCTCGTATGCAGGGCGGCGGCGGCGCGGGCGGCGCGTCGGGGAGCGTGGGTGGGGCTGTGAGTGATGTGCTGCGCCCGCGTCCGAATCCAGGGACGGAGGATGTGTTGGACCCAGGGTCTGTGCACCATTCCAGTTACAGGTGGCCACTCCATCGTCAACACGTCTGCACTGCACGCTTCTTTGGGACGATTCAACTCATCGCACCGCTTGTAGAGAGTATATTCAAACAGCCTTGGATCTCTAGGTGGTCACCATTTTTCGGGAAAGTTGGAAAAACTGAATCTGCCCCGCGGACTCTTCCCCAGCAAAGTTCCAGCAGAGACCCACTTGTGCCAGCATCGGGATCGCCGCGTACCGATCCGGGATCCAAAACATTTCGTTCCAGTCCAGATTGCCGTAATCGTACTCCGTCAAGAGCAGCCATCGCAAGGCGGTGCATCCGACTCTCCACTCCCTCGAGTCACCTGTCGGAGATCATGACGAAGACCTCGAGCGTGCCCACCGATCCCCATGAGCGCCTGGCGGCCATCTCCCGGGAGTTTGGGGAGTATGGAGGTGCGATGGCGTCCCGAGGGTGTTGTGGGGAGGTGTCCATGCCGCCCGCGGCCTTGTCCCTGTGCCCTGCTGAGGTGTACCTGTCAGCTTCTCGAGTCCCCGCCTCCAGCATGGCCCCCCCTCCGCACAGGCGTCAACACCTCCACCGAGACTTCCTCTACATTTACCGGTGGGCACATGGGCTGTCGGTGGTGCGTGTCTCGTCCTGCGTGGGCGGGGCATCGCGCCCTCGGACGACCGGGCGCAGATTTGCCTTCGGGAAGTCTCGGGCAGCGGTCAAGCCTCCGGCTCACCCCGGTCAACGTGCCTGCCTGGCTGCCCCCCCAGGAACGCAGCTGTGTTCTGTTCATGCAGAAGCATGAATCCCTTTTCAGGCCTCCCCCTCCTCACCTGGGACCCACCCCCCTAACCTCTGACAGTGCTGAAGGCGGAAACCCTGCCCGACATCTTCTCCGGCAAGATGGACCCCGACCAGGGCGGGTGCTACCTGTACGGCCGCTGCTTCAACCCCACCACGCGCACGCTGGGGCGCCAGATCGCGGCGATGGAGGGCGCGGAGGCCGGCTACTGCACCGCCTCCGGCCTGTCTGCCATCTCGGCCACGCTGCTGGCGCTGTGCGACACCGGCGACCACATCCTGGCCTCGGACGCGGTCTACGGCGGCACCCACGCCCTGCTGCACGACTTCTTCCCGCGCAAGTTTGGCATCACCTCCACCCAGCTCCCCGTGGACGACCTGGCGCGGTGGGAGGCTGCGCTCACCCCCCGCACCCGCGTGCTGTACGTGGAGAGCGTGTCCAACCCCACGCTGGTGGTCGCCGACATCCCAGCCCTGGCGGCGCTGGCCCGTGCCCACGGGCTGACCCTGGTGGTGGACAACACCTTTGCGCCCATGATCATCTCGCCCATCGCGCACGGCGCCGACGTGGTGGTGCACTCCGTCACCAAGTTCATCTCCGGCGCCTCGGACGTCGTGGCCGGCGCCGTGGTCGGCCGCGCGGCCTTCATTCACGGGCTCATGCACCCATGCTCCGGCCCGCTCATGCTGCTGGGGCCCACCATGGACCCAAAGGTGGCGGCGGAGCTCACCCTGCGCCTGCCCCACCTGGCGCTGCGCCTGCGCGAGCACGGCGCGCGCGCGGAGCTCTTCTCGCGTCGCCTGGAGGCCCTGGGCGCGGCGGTGCGCTATCCGGGCCTGCCCAGCCACCCGCAGGCGGAGCTCTTCGCGCGGCTGGCCAACCCGGGCTATGGCGCGGGCGGCATCATGACCGTGGACCTGCGCACGCCGGGGCGGGCGGGGGCCTTCATGGAGCGCCTGCAGAACAAGCACGGCTTCGGCCTGCTCGCCGTCAGCCTGGGCTACTTCGACACCCTCATGTCCGCCAGCGCCGCCTCCACCTCCAGCGAGCTCTCCGACGCCGACCTGGAGGCGGCGGGCATCTCGCGCGGACTCGTGCGCCTGTCCGTCGGCATCACAGGCGGCGCGGAGGCGCGCTGGGCGGCGCTGGAGGAGGCCTGGCGCGCCGTCGCCTCGGTGCCGGACCACGTCGTCAAAGCGCCCTACAAGGCAGCCCAGGTGTGTGTGGAAGTTTTGGGCTGGAGGGAATAGGGGGAGCAAAAACTTGTTGGAGCAGTGGAGGGATCTGGTGTGGGATTTGCAGGTTTGGATGCGGACTTCCGGTGAGTCTTCGTCTGAAGGAGAATAGAGGGGGAACGCGCCTTTCCGTCGCATCTCATCAACGTGATCAAGCTCCCTGACGTACTTCGCGCCACCCCAACCACCACGCTGCAGATTCGCAAGGATGCGGTGACGGGGGCACGCCTGGGACGGACCCCATCCTGGCACAGCTTTGGGAGCGACGAGGAGGGTGCAGACCAGGCGGAGCAGGAGCAGGTGAGGCGCCATGGTGCGCGTGACGGGGGGGCCAGCTGTGGCAGGCAGGAGGATCAGGGTGATCCATCGTTCTGTGCCGGCATCTGGTCCAGGAGCGTCGTTGAGACATTGAACCGCGCTGCTCCACCCTTCAATTCCTTTGGTCCTCCATCCGCGCGCAGAAGCGGATGAAGAGGGACGGACCCTGGGTGCGACGCATCGACACCACCACCGAAGTGGAGTACACTCCCGTGGCCTGAGGGCCAAGGGGCTGAGGATTTGTGGGGCTGGTTGCTGGCCCCCGAGTGCATGGCATGCAGGGCAGCAATCGGGGCCTTAGCTGGTCAGGGATTGCCACATTTCTCCATATGCAAGATGCTGCGATGGGCTGTTGAAGTACCAAGCCGCCTTCCCGTCATGGGTGTGGTCTGGAAGCTGGACCCTGGGAACAGCAAACATCGGTTCTGCAAGGTTCAGCACATTTTCCCGTGGGCAGCAGACTCAATTCCGCACCATTTCCACCCCGCATGCATGCCGCACTGAACGACGCCTCTGAAATTGCTTGTACCACCTGCATGCAAGAGTCCCGCTGCCGGGAAGTCCAATGAGTCTTGTAAAGTCGGCACATATCCACTGCAAGAGGGCAGGTCACGGACTGCAGATTTGGTGCGAGGTCGTGAGGCGGCTGGCTGGATGCCAGAGTTCACCAGGCTGGCTCTACGTGGCAGCATTGTGCACTCAGGCCCTTCCAATATGTAGAAACGATACAGGGGTGCACCTCTCCCTCCCATGCTGAACCCTGATCCCATACGAGGGTATTTCCGCTTTTACATCGAGGGGGACACCGCACAGAGGCTCCCCGACCATCAAACACAGAGCGGGAGGGAAGGGGGGAAGGAGCTCGCGAGGCGTGCGTGCCAGGATCAGTTCGCCGCGCCGCGCTCAGCGGCCGATCTGAGCATCCAGCAGCTCCGGGCGTGGGCCTCCCCCCCTAAGCCCCCCCTTGCCCGAGCGCCCGCCTACTCCTTGGAGGCCTGGCTCTGCACGCGCAGGGCCCTCTTCTTGGCGAGGGACTCGCTGCGGCGCTCGCGCTCCTCCTTCAGCCTGGAGACCAGCAGCTTGTGGTACTCCGCCTGCTGCGTCTTCTTGGACTCGATGCGGCGCGCCTTGAGCGCGGCGCGGTGCCGCTTGTGCTGCAGGGTGCGGGGGGTGACCAGGCGCTGGATCTTGGGCGCCTTGATGGTGGTCTTGCCGTTCTTCTTCTCGATCTTGCGCCCGTAGATCTTGACGTAGTGCCGCACATCGTCGTCCTTGGTCAGGTTGAACATCTTCCTGATCTTGGAGGCGCGCTTGGGCCCACGCTGGCGCGGCTTCTCCTCGTCGGTCAGGCCGGGCAGCTCCGCCACGCCCTTCCTCACGATCACCAGGTTCAGGACGGAGAGGTCGGAGGAGACGATGCAGCCGCGGACCGACTTGCGGCGGCGCTCGCCGTCGCGGCGGCCGTGCCCGCGGAAGCAGGAGTCGCCGGGGGACATGAGCACGCGCACGCGGCCGGGGGTCAGCACACCCTGCTTCATGGGGAAGCCCTGCTTGTCCTGGCCACCCTTAATCTTGAAGATGTAGCCCTTGAACTCCTGGGGGGGGCGGAGGGAGGAGGGGGGGAGCCGGTGGGGGGGGGGGGTGGCAAGGACAACTGGTCTCAGAGGTGTTGATAATGTCCATGCAGCACCACAGACGTCACGGTGACAGCGTGCCCCTGGTTTGAACATCGCAAAGGCCAGAGTCATCTGACGCAGAGATGGCTGGGCCATGGCGTCATCGAAACTCACAAGGGTGAGCCTCCATTCCCTCCTTCCATCCCTCCCTGACCCCAATGCAACGCCGCGACAGCATCCCGCCGCGTTGCAGTAGACCTCGAGTGCTCTGAATCATGCAATTCCAGCCTTCCAATCCAGCAGCGACCCCAGAAGAACCACAGGCTCGCACCTCGCCCAGAGCCTCGCCATCGACCTCCTGGGAAATGCGCTTGTCGTAGAAGGCGCGCCTGGAGGGGAAGTGGAGCATGGAATGTCGAATGACTGTTTACATGCGAAGACCGGGTACCCAGCCAGGTTCCCAGTTCCTCAACCCCTGCAACTCACAGCTTAGCATCGTCGTCGATGTCGAGCTTCTTCTGGCACCCCGTGGCGGGGTACGCAATGTTGAGCTGCACGAGGGGGATAGTTTTGAATAGTTAGACCGGTTCGGGGCATCTCGGACATCTCTGCCAGCGCTGAGCCGATCGCCAGAGGTCCAGTGCCGGCGGGGCGGGTGTGGCAGGCCGTACCTTCATGCTGGCTCGTGCCTCCGGCCTGCTCCTCTATGTGCAGGTCTGTGGCTGAAAAGGACCGAGTCCTTGCCCCCCCACGGCCTAGTGCGCCCTGCCGCCTGGGCCACGGTGTGGGCCCGGGTCGATGGTGCGGCTGGGTCGAGGAGTTTGGGTACTGCGGAAACTGGTACCGCACACGGTCGTCCCCTCACCGGCCCTCCCTGGCGTAGACCCCGGGGGTCCCCGCACCATGCAGACGGACAACATGTTTCAGGAATCGTGAGCCCAACATCCTCTAGATCGACAGCGGGCTATCATTGCTCGAGGAAGGAGCTCAGCAGCAAGAGGACAGGGTGGTGCTTCCCCTCGGCCAAGCACGGCCCCCCCCCAACCCGCCAGGACACCGGTCCTACCACACGCGCTCCAGCTCGTACCAGGTACGGTGTATGGGAACTGCCATCCAAGACGGTCACGGGGAGTAACCCGGATTACGACCTTACTGGAACCAGCTTCCATGCGAAGTTGAGGCCGATGCCAGTGGCCAAGCCCGTCTGGTACAGGCTTGCTGCTGACGCCCTTTGGACGGGCACACTCTAGCTGACCAGGCATCACATTTCCCAGAGTGCTCGACACTGACGATCCTACCCGTGCGCAGGCCCTTTGGAGTCCTGGACGCGCTGCTGCTGCTGGGTCCGACACCGCCTGTCGGTGCCATGGAAGTGGCAATGCAGGCGCCTCCCGCGCCCACTCCAGACTGCACAATGGACATTGATCGCAACATCTACAATTCCGGTGCCGCCCCATTTGAGAGCGAGGCCCGCGAGGCCACAGCGCCCAGTGTGCCGGGCGTCACGTCGACATCCCCCGCCCGCCCAGGTGCGTTCGTGGCGCGATCGCGGCCCACATTTCGCGGCATGTACGGGATCGGGGCATGATGTGACACCGGACGCACTCCCCCCTCAGGCTCCGGCCGGGTGCAGCGTGCCAGCGCGCTCAAAGCAAGCCAGCGCGTGTCGAGCTGGGCGGAGCGGGAAGCCATGCCCTTCACGGTAGGAGATTTTCCCCCTGGTATCATCAGGGGGGGTGGGGTGGGGTGATTAGGGTGTCATGGGAAATGTGGAAGGGAAATGAGTCTCAACATTTCACTTGAATTCTAACTTTAAACTTGTTTTGCACCATTTCTTTCCGGAAATGAATATCAGTGTGTATGTGACACTCGGTGGGGAATTCGATGGCCGCATGATCTGCAAGGGGAGGAGGGGGCCTTCCGTCGCACACATCTCGGCAAGCTCCCACCCTTCTCAGCCTGCTTTGCTCCCCCCACACACAAACTCCCACCAAGCCGCTCATCGTAGCCACTCCCTCATCCTGCGACAGGCTGTGGCGGGGCGCGACATCTTCGTCACCTCCAAGACCAAGGCCCACACGCGGCGCACCCCCCCCGCCGAGCAGCCGCCGGCCGCGGCCAAGCACCAGCGCACCGCGCAGCAGGCCGATGCGCGGCGCCGCGACCGCCGCCGCTCCCCCTCCACGCCCGAGCCCGGCGCGGGACGGGCTGCCTCGGACGCCAAGCGCCCGTGCCGCGCACGAGGCGGGCAGCGGGCGTCCACCGCGGAAGACGGCGCCTCTGGCTCCGACTCCGAGGCGGCGCTGAGCGGGGACGAGCTGTATGGCTGCCCCAAGTGCCGGTATGCGTGGAAGGGGTGCGGCGCCTGCCGCGCGCGGCGCCCCGCCTTTGTCCGCCCGCGCGAGCTGCGCTGGCGGCCGGAGGAGGGGCGGCCGCAGGCCGTGCCCGCGGGCCGCACCTACCGCCCCAGCGCCGAGGAGTTTGCTGACCCCGTGGCCTACATCGCGCGCATCACGGGGGAGGCCTGCGGGCAGGGCGCGGCGCACATCATACCCCCGCCCGGCTGGGACCCGCCCTTTGCACTGGAGCGCGGGACGACGGGCACCAGCATGGAGTCCTTCCGCTTCGCCATCCGCCGCCAGCCCACCGCCAAGCTCTGCGTGCGCGGCGCCGGCGTCGGCAAGGGGTCCGGCGGCGGCGGCGGCGGCGGCGCCACGCACGCCGCGGGGCGCTGCGCTGGCCGCGCGCTCCTGAACGGGGCGGGCGGGGTCGGGGATGGGGCCTGCGCGGCCGGCGACGGCGCGTGTGAGGACACGATGCACGATCGCATGGACGCCGACGCCTCTGCTGACGAGGCCTCCTCGTCCGGCTCCGACTCCGACTCCGAGTCCGAGTTTGGTTTCCCCACTCTCCAGCGCCGGCACACGCTGCGCTCCTTCTCCGCCTACGCCGACTGGGCGCGCGCTCTGCACTTCTCGGGCGCAGGTACTCGTGCGCCCTCGGGGCGAAGCACGCCGGTCGGGGAGGGAGCACCGGGGACCGGCGCGGCCCCCACGGACTGCGATGCCGCCCCTGCTCCCACCGCCGCCGCACGCTCCTGGCAGCGCCGGCCGCGG